TGCTTGAGGGACTCCACTAGTCAATTTTAACAAGAAGATGTTTGACAGTTTACGGCAGCATAACTTTATCTATTAGGCAGATAGCTGTGCAGGAGGTTCACAACAGACTAGTGACTATCTAAGTTTGCAAGTTTATCAAAAATAGTTCGCGTCAGAAGCCTTGTTTCCCGTCAGAGTAGACTACGTCAACTTCTCTTCTCTGAGAAATAGGTGAGAGGTTTGCGCAATAAAACTACCGAAATTACTGGTAGTTTCGGGGAGGGCGAAACATAGAATATAGTTGTATATTTAAAGCAAGTATACAGACAAGAAACGAAAGACAGAGGTATACAGACGAGCACTCATGTCGAACTAAAGTTTATCCACAGAAAATACTGTGTTTTATTCTACACTGAACATGAAAATGCATGCATGAAACTACAATATAGAAAGAAAAACATAGGAGAAAAGTTATCACCACAGAGTTAAAAAAAACGCAAAAAACCAGGTGCCTACAGCAGATCAAGATATCATACATAAAATAAAATAACTGAGGTCAAAGTCCAACACATGTCATGACAAGTGAGCGAGTGGCTATCGCTGGCCTTGCTCTCAGCGTCGAAGACTTGTCTAGGTAAGCCACTTCACTGGTAATAGGTTAATAGATGGCTCGGCTGTCGCTACGCCGAATAATTTTGTGAATATGAAAGGCTTTCATTATTTCTCTTGTTGCCCCGTTTTTGTGTCGGGAAAAGAGTGGAAGTATTGCTCAATTGTGGCATGGACCCGCATTCTTGATAGCTGCCGCGCGAGGTGCGAATATGTGGTGCCTTTTAGAGAACTTTGTTCTTCCCTTAGCCAGATATTCAGGCAGCGGCTAGTATTACCTACGTAGGGTTGACAGCTTGTGAAAGGAGCACTGTAAATAACGTCGAAAACACAGGAAACAAACGGAATTCCATGGTTTATTTCGCATGTTCACTGCTTTGGCAATCCTTTGTTGTGTAGGTGCGTATGAAGAGCCGGACAAATGGAACCAATCATATACTTCGTATAGAAGATGACGTTCACATTGTATCGGGAGGCCACCAATTAAATAGACTAGAAAGACCATGAACATATGGAATGAGAGCGTACCTTTTTCATTCCTACACTGAACAACTATTTGTTCGTAATTTGTTTTTGCCTTGATGAGCCTCAGGCACTTTTGGCTCGCTGTGGAGATGCTGCTCTCAGGGTTAGCCAGCTTCGCGCTGCTTCTTTACTTGGCCTGTTGCACTTTTAGCATGTCGATACTGGCATGATTTGCGTCACCACCTAACGGCTTGCCAGCTTGGAGGGCGCAGAACGGGGATCTAGTAGTCTCAAACAGCAAACAGCAAATAATATTGACAGCAAATAACAAATAGTATCACTAATCAACATAAAAAACTTGGCGCCTCTACCAGTTGAAAAATTGGCCCCGTATCAGCACGTAATCTTCAGATCTCGTCGAAAAATGGTAGTCTTGCGTGTGGAGAGAGTGAACAATTAGTGTGATGTTCTTCGCAAGAAAATCGGTGATGGTATTTTGGAGGCGCTGCGTTAGAGTGCCTCGAGCGTGCAGCGGAGGCGAATGAGCGCATCAAGCCACGTCCCACGTGAGACATGAGCGCCACCTGGTAGTCTTTTTGCAAAACGAAACGCGTGGCTCTGAGACGGGTGTGCGCGCCCGTCTCAGAGGTGATAAGGTGAGAAACGCAAGGCGACGGGTAGGTGCCACCACCATCGCGTCTTAGCAAAGCGTTAGAACACTCACCTTTTCGCGCAAGCGTTGCATGGTCAGCGCAACGTGATAAGCGCTACGGTCCTTAAAATTTCTTATGTATGCAGTTTCTAGTAAAAGATGCACATGCAGAATATAAACGTGTTGTTATGATGCCCCAGACATGCAGAATAATTGCTTATTCATTGACAGTTGCACAAGTATGATTACTAAATCTTGAGCCACATTGGCGGTCGCTGCGGATGGAGTCGGCCATTTCAAGTATCTGGTGCCATTAAGAGTGGACAAACAAACAAATGTATAGACAGACAGATAGACAGACAGACCCAAAATTTTGTGGTGAAGGTACTCAAGAAAGACTATCGTCTTTAAAAAAAATAGTTCATACTCTAGAAGATATTGCTGTGAGATGTGGTATAACAGTTTTCGCATTTTACTCAAAGTGTGGAAAAACATGCATAGACAGTGTGATTCGAAAGATTCTACAAAATTACAGCATATTCACGAAGTGAACGACGATCAGTTGGGCAAAGCTTCGGAGGGTTTTATCGGCAAACCGCGAATCATCTGCTGTCTACGTTCGTCCGTCCGTTCATGCATCTGTCCGTTTATCCGCCTGTTCATCTGTCCATCCGTTGCTTCGTCCATACGTTCATATGTCTGTCTGTCTCTCTGTCTGTCTGTCTGTCTGTCTGTCCGTTCGTCCATATGTTCGTCTGCCTCTCTGTCTGTCCATCCGTCTGTCCACATGTCCTTTTGTCTGTATGTCTGACTGTCCATCTATTCATCCGTCCCTTCGTAAATCTAGTGAACATTCCAAGCACCGCCATCTCGCAGCTTTTCATCATATATATTCATTATATAAAAGTACCTGCGTCTCTCATAATCCAATAGTAGTTTTGGGACGTTAAACCCCACAAAATCAATCAATCAACAAGTACCGCCATCCAGCGGACATTCCAAGGTCTAAGACGAGCGGTGGCTACCACATGCAGGAGACGTAAGACCCACGCCTCAAGAAGCTTCGCGCCTAACAGTGTTTCTTAAGGTGTAGTAAGACATCTACCTTAATCCGTTATCTGCCAATACTATCTCTCATGATACGGGTTTTAGCGGATTGCAGGATTTGTCTGGAAAAACAGTTGTTATAAGAGACAACTGGTGGGATGACTGTAAAGTGCCACGTGTTGTGTAGTGACCACCGTGAAGAAAAAAAGTTTTACTGTAGCGCGATTTTCTAATCCATATAGAGAAGCACGTAGAAGTGTATATATTCCCAAAATTTTTAATGAACTACCTGAAAAGTTTCTTACAGCCACATCAAAAATCAAAATAAAAAAATTACTGTTTTGAGCTATAAAATCGCATGGCTATGTTCTACTTGTATATAGTGTCTGTGACCTGGTAACCACATCGCCGTAGCTGGCTCGGCCGTGCCTAGTCGCATAAGTTCTTGGAGATTTAGACAGGCCCGTTTCTTTGTGTTTCTCATGAATGTGTACAACAGTCTCCTTCTCCTTCTTCTTCTTCTTCTTCTTCTTCTTCTTCTTCTTCTTCTTCTTCTTCTTCTTCTACTACTTCTTCTTCTTCTTAATATTATTATTATTAGTAGTAGTATTAATATCTTTATTATAAGATAGAATTGGTGTGATGACTTTAAAGTGCCATATGTAACGCGTCGACCCCTGAGAGACAAAAAGCGTTTTATAGTACCCTGGCTCTCTACCAGATATGGAAAAGCATGTAGAAGTGTATATATTTTAATAATTTTCAATTACCTGACGAATTTTTTTCAGCGAGTTCAAAAAGGCAAAAAAGAAATTACTGGCTGAGCTGTAAAATCAGATGGTCTATTTCTATGCCACGTATGCTCTGTGTCCCTCCTTTGTTCCTGTTTTTATTTACTGCCTGTAAGAAAGTAATGGTGTCAATCGTTTGTCGGTTCGTTGGTAAGGAAATGACAATAGTTTTGTTACCTTGTATCCACATCGCTGTAACCGGTTCTGCCGCGCCTAGTCGCACAAGTTATGGTGACTTAGACAGGCCCGTTTCTTTGTATTTCTTATGGATGTGTACATTGAAGTATAATAATAATAATAATAATAATAATAATAATAATAATAATAATAATAATAATAATAATAATAATAATAATAATAATAATAATAATAATAATAATAATAATAATAATAATAATAATAATAATAATAATAATAATAATAATAATAATAATAATAATAATAATAATATAATATCTTTATTATTATTGCTGCCTTCACGGATCATTTCAGCTATATATAGAATGTCATCTGCGCTTGTAACTCTTCTTGGGCGGGTTGAAATTGTTTGGCGTGAAAGGTAACCGTAAGTAAAGCGGGAACCACGACTTGCGCACTTGTAGCATGTGTTAGAAGGACCCTAGATGAACGTGAACACGTAGAAAAGCTTATGAAAATGAACTACTTCGAATCTTCAATCATAAACCACAGTGACTGCAGTTGAACGGCAAGCGACAGACGGAAGCCGAGGCAGTTAACGCCATCTGCCTGTATTCAACATCGGTAGTTGCGCTACGGTTCACTGCTGCCTCTTATTCTCTGCTTTCGGGGGTCACTTATGCTACTAGTGGGAGTAGCACAGATTTTCAATGGGAGCGTTTGGTTTATGTGTACCAATCGCTTTGCATTCAGTGAACTGTAGACTCGGTCCGTTTCAGCTACATAAAAAGCAAAGCCGCTTTGACCATGTTGCCACGTAATCGTGAGAGTGAAGCGCATAAAACTGGAACATAAAAAAGATTGATCTGTTTTCTCCGTTGAATCGCGTCCAGCAGACGCTCACATTGAGGCGAGCTCTGTGATCATAATCGTGAGTCATCAAAGAAGTGACGACCACCTTCATAGGGTCGTCTTTTACGTTAGAAGTATCGAAAATTCCAGCTTTATTTTGGCGGTTTCGTTAGCCCTAGAATGAACCTAACTATTCTTTTCGCATGCGCAATATACGAGCAATCATCTCAAAGCATCAATAAATTTACGAAAAATTTCGGCAGCCTGGACTGAGCACTGGCTCTATTTTTTTAGCTAGCGCAGCCCACTAGTATAAAAATATGAAAAGTGCGTGAAATTACCTGTCATTCTAGACGCCTACGACCTCATGTGGTCATTTTAATTTCGTTACCAATGTAAAAGCGATAATTTTTACGACGGTAAAAACAAAGCCGAGGCATATAAAAAACCAGTTCAGATGACACAGATATCACCCGAAATATTGTTTATTTGTTGGTAGAAGTTTTAGGTTTCTCAGTGAAATATTGTGCTAACCCGACCGCGAAATGCACTAATGGCGTCCCTCAGTGCTTCTTTCATTCTATGGTAAGTTTCGGCTATTTCTTCGGCACTGGGCATTCGGCGCCAACGGGGGAGCCATGATGAGTGTGCGTTAGTCGGTGTTGGCACGACTTCTTTCATGGAACCAATATGGTGGTCTTCTGTTTCCACACCAGCACCCGAAAAGTCTTCGAAGCCTGTGAAGAACAAGCGAAACAAACAAGTAAATAAATTTCCGAGACCCTTGTTTGTGTTATTTTAGTAGAATGCAGTACATCACATCCGTCTGTTTTGTTGGGGAAACATGTGAAATAAGTGCGTATGCTTATATATCTTCTAAATGTTTGGAATGAAAAGTTCGGCAGATCCCCCGTATACCTGGGATTTGACGTTATGCTAAGCATGCGGAGGGAAAGTGACCATTTTGCAACTTTTTTATTGAGCCACACGTCATGAAACAACGCTAAATATATGTACGAATATTGCGCGCACAGGCATATGTTGAAGAGATGCAGATGTTTAAATAACCAGTTGTTGGCACTTGCGCAACAATGCCAACGGGAACATCAGTATTAGCAACACCAGAAGCTGATATCAAGCACTGATTTTTGTCGGGCTGCTGGCTCTGGGCACTGCTACATAAATCAAATTCAGCACGTGGAACTAACCACAATTGACGTTTACCCGACAAGACGGCTGCATCGAAGGAGTACATATGTAATGTTTAAAAAAATTGGATAGTCTGCAGTGCAACCACTATTGACGTATCACGAAGATTAGCGTCTATTTGAAAACTGGGTCCGAGACCTGGCGTATCTCTATGGTAAAATGTTTCATAGCCACACAGAGTGCTTGTGTTCAATACCAGCTGGTACCCTAACACTTATTCTTTACATTTCTTGGGTCGAAGCTACTGAGGCCGATTATTTCTTAACGTGCGTGTGTTAAAATTGCCCATTTGTGTTTTCGTCGTTCCTGAGTAGATACTAAGTGTCAATCACCTGTGGCATATACCCGCGTACAAGCGGCACGTACCCGCCCGGGGGTATGTGCTTTTGTCTGGCGGGAAGTGTTTGACGGTGCACGCGAAGGCATCATGACAATATTCTTGTCTTGACAAGCGTGTCTTATTCGTAAAACTCTTACCCTCCTATGCTAATTTTGGTTCGCGCCAAGTCAAGGGGGTGACCACGAGAGCACCCAAACGTAAGCGGCGAGACAGTTGGATACGCTTAAGGCTGGTGCACACCGGCGACTAGCAGCGGTCGCGCGACCATTCGCGACTGGCGACCAAAAAGCGACTGATGTTCACACCGACAGAGGCTGCATGCGAGCGACCGGAAGTCGCAAAACCGGAGAGTCACGTCCGGATCTCGTTATGAGCGAGAACTCCTGAGACCGGCGCGATCAGCTGATCGCCGCCAGCCGAATCCGTTCTCGCACAGCGTTCCCAACAGCATCAAGTTCGATTCAAGCGAAGAACAAGACAATTTCATGGTGCTGATGCACTGTGCCATGGTGTCAGCGCTGGCATCACAGATGCCTCCAAAGAAAAAAAAAAGCCGGTAGTGGATGTGACCATCCTTTCGATCGCGGGAATTGACCGGCCATGCAAGCCGCCTGCCTTCAGAGCTGCGCTGACACGACGAGGAGTATTTCCGAGAGTCGTACGTATTCAGAAACCATCCTTAAATTTCCCTTGACTTGCCACAGCCTACAATGCAGCACAAATGCGTCTCGAACGTGGAGTCTTAAGTCGTTGCCAAGGCATGAAGTACAAACGTCTTCCAAACACGCTGCGTTGAATGCGCTGACAAGTCAAGTTCAAGACGAAAAAAAGTTTCCGAGTACGGGGAAAAGACAGTGCACAATTTATTTTCTCTTTACTTTGACGGTGTTTAGCTTCTTGCGAATGCCACCACGTAAATTCGACAATTTGCTCGAGTTGCTGCGGCCCGCCATCTCCAAGCCAAGTATTCCGTGGTGGCCATGGTGCCACAGACCTAGAGGAACGCACTCGTTTGTATCTGGCGGCAGGAAGCCAGCGCAATGAAAAAAAAAATGAGCATCGCTGATTGGTTAAGCAGCTTTGCGACTGCAGTCGCGCGACTGAAAAATCGGTCAAGAAGCGACTGGCCAACGCAGTCGCTTTGCGACCGTTTGCGACCGTTCGCGACTGGTTGCGACCAGTCGCAAATGGTCGCGCGACCGCTGCTAGTCGCCGGTGTGCACCAGCCTTTAAAGTCACCGAAGTTCGCTAAGACATGCTTCGCATTTAAAAAAAATGTACGAACAGGAGTTCGACAGCTGGGTTAGTTAGTATGGTTTCAAACTATATGAAGCATTCATACAGTCTATTTCTTTTTCTGTCTTTTGTGCTGCTTTAATTACAGAAACGCGAGACAGAGAGAATTCATTTTGTCATAGTTGTGCCTCATAAAGAGTGCCGTAGTACGCCACAGTAGAGCAGAAGTCCGAGGCCTGGCGTACCCGTGTGGTAAAATGCTTCATTGCCATGCAGAGTGCTTGGGTTCGATCCCAACTGGGGCCCCAACATTTATTTTCATTCCTCGGCTCAACGCTACTGGTGTCGAGTATTTCTTAACGCTCGAGCGGAAAAATTGCCCATGTGCGGCTGATGACCTGAAGGTCGCAGTTTCCATACCGGCAATGGTGGTCTCATGTTGTTGGAAGGTGAAAAAGTAGAGGCCCGTGTACAAAGTGAGGTCACATTACGTTAACTGACCACAGATGGTGAAAATTTTCCGGAGCCCTTCATCCAAGCTATCTCTTGATCAAATCATGGTTTGGGGACGTAAAGTTCCGGATAGTAATATAATTAGAATTTATTGTGTGAATTTTTGTGGTACTATGTTCGATGACGTCCCGTATCCACATTATTTGTTACACTGCCTACGGACAGGTACTGGCAAAGAATTCTCGACTAAAATATCAAAATTACAAAACTATACTCAGCCACGTTTAAGTGATAGTACACGAAGTAATTTTTGAATTGAACGCTTGTACCCGCATCTCAGTATTTAAAATTTTTTTTCTTAAACACCCTGAGAATTACAGCTTCCCACTTTGTGGTAGTCCTTCAGGACACACCAGAGAATGTTCCTAACGTGCAACGGTCACGTCACGCTCCGTCCAGGAAACGTGGCAAAGCACTGAGCGACAAAGACAGCGAGGCAACCGATTTCTTCTCGGATGGTTATGAGTCATCAGACAATGACTTCAAGGTCGTCATGAGTGGAACTGCAAAACTAAGACTGCTGTGGATGGCATCGCGCGCAAGCATTTCCACCGTTAAGGCTGCAGCACAGCGCTGGCCGCCCACCACGCTGTTCATGCCCGAGGACCCTGCGTCCAACTTGCGACTCTTCAACAGGCAAGATCTCTTTGTGCTTCACGAAGAAACCGCGCCAAATGCGATCGAAGATGTGGAGATCAATGCACAAAAGACTGTGCTTGCCGTAGACATGGGTAAAAAAAGAAACAGTGCAAAAATTGAGAGACCAGACAAAAAATACCCATAGAAGCACTGACCCATGCATCTATGCAGTGGAACTATGTACCTAGGCAGTGAAACAAAAAAAGAAAAAGACAAAAGTGTTAGTCAAAAAATGTCGCACCAATACATCCAAGCAACCACTTTACTTGCCGTGAACGTCATGCACATTGGCGAGCTGCATAGCCTTTGGAGCTTAATAGTAATCGGCAACATGAAAGATCAGGCAATGGTCGCCAAATGTTGTAACGGCACTGTAGGCATTATTTATTATGTGGATCTTTCCATCACCTTTTATGTGGATCTTCCCATCTCAGCTAGTGACCTGCCAGTATTGATAAAGCCAGATACAGAAGGAACTCATATCAAGCACATCACCAGACTTGGCAACTCACGTTGCTTGAGATGTGTTCGAGGGAGACAGCCTTCACTCGTACGTCAAAGTTAGTCACGTTCGCCACTCAGCACGTCCATACGTACTGAAGCCACTGCAATGCTACAAATGTTTCAAGATTGGACACGTAGAGGGTCTCTGACAGAACAAATTGTGTGCCCGCGGCGCGATGTCAAAACTGCCACGGTGCTCATGAAGCTTCATCGCCCCGCCGTGGTGGTCTAGTGGCTAAGGTACTCGGCTGCTTACCCGCAGGTCACGGGTTCAAATCCCGGCTGCGGCGGTTGCATTGCCGATGGACGCGGAAATGTTGTAGGCCCATGTGCTCAGATTTGGATGCACGTTAAAGAACCCCGGGTGGCCGAAATTTCCGGAGCCCTCTACTACGGCGTCTTTCTTAGTCATATGGTGGTTTTGGGACGTTAAATTCCCGCATATATATCAATAAAGCCTCATACAAAGATTGCCCGCAGGTGCGAAACGGGCACGTGGTACTCAAGCGTAAGGTGCGGGACAATTGAACGCACAGGAAAGCTGCCGCTACACTTGCCATTGACGGCGTCAAGGTCGAAGAGCATCACGAAAAGACTGCTGTACCAATAAAGGAATGCCATCCTCCATCAAAGTGGCTGACCAACGAACAACGAACTCAACCAAGACGGATACTGCGAAACAAAAGACAGGGGGACACCAGTCACACCTTCCGAACAGTGGCCCTCCCTTCTCTGAGGTTAACGTACATCGAAGCCGAATCAAATCCCGCCGATCTCGATGGCCCCTGAACCACTGATGCGAGGGATGAAGATCGACAAGTGATAAGCTTGCTGCAATTGCTGATGAGCGCCATGCGTGCTCTAACAAGCATTATGAAGCCTCCATCTGCGCAGAGCGCGGTGCATGTGCTGGACACCCTGAGTCCGGTGCTTGCCTCTCTAAGGTAGAACCACGACCAGCAAGGTACCATCGTTCTGAGTGGAAGTGTAAATTGCATTGGTCATTCAGTAGAACGACAGAGGTCTTAAATCGCGCATGTATGACTTTCGAACATTTGTGTTTGTCAAATCTTTCCCCATCATTGTGATTTGCGAACCCAACTTGTCTGCTTGAATGGAAATCTCAGGATATGAGTGCTTTATGTCCTCCACCCACAGAGACTGCAGCAAGGTTATTGTATTCATGCACCGTTACCTCACGTCCACCACACAGCCTTACCTGACAAAGACAACGAGAATGTGTGCCTTACTCTGAAGAAGAAGAAGTTACTTTCACAAGTCTTGGTCACATGTCTC